AAATTAATTCCATAAATCTGTGAACAGTTTTTTTCTTCTTTGGAAATGCTTTTTAGCTTTTTGAAACCAGAAAAAAACTGAATGCAATGTTTTTGCCATCTGAAAAAATTAAATTTAACTCAATTTATTTTCAGTACAAACACAAAGTTTGTAAATAATTACAAAACCGCAATTAATTAAGATAATCATACAACCTTCAGGGGAATTCTCTTGTCAATAATCAAAAATCGACCTATTGTGAGACAGAGAGAGACTTTTCCAAATCTTTTCATGAAGTTCAAAATCTGAAATTATTGTCAATATTAGGAAAATATTTGTTTAAATGCAATTTAAACTTCATACCTTTAGCTTTTGATTTTCTCCAATGTCACATCCTGCAAATTGTCTGATATCTTGAAACGTATTTTCCATCTACAAGAAGAAGAAACTATAAACTATCTAAAGCATATGTCAATAGTGCATGTAGAATGTAATTACCGTAAATGCTAAAGAGCACAGCAGACAGCCAGTAATTATGCTAATGCAAGTGAATAGTATCATCGATAACAGCATCAAAAATTTAATGAAATAATGAAGCTCTAAGAACAAAAACGCATAATAGATAAAACTTGTCAACCAAACGATTCCGAAGTACAGAAATCCAAATACTAAATTATATTTAGAATTGAACTGTTGGACGAAAACCCAAAGTTCTTCATGATGCATCATTAATTTGTTTAGCTTTTCACGTAAATTATAATCGATTCTTTTTATTAAATGCAGCTCTATCGACAATTGCTCAAATTCCTTATGCAAGATCAGCACTAACAATGCTCCTAACAATAATGTATAACCAATTCCACCAATGAGAAAACCCGAATTTAAGGAGCTGAATATACTACACAAGAGTGCTTCCCCATGAAATTTTTGCCTCATTTCTATGTAAGGGTAGAGAAACACAGTGGCCGCAATTTGATACAAATTTATGGCTAATATTATACCAAAGGAAAAGAGCAGAGTAGCATATTGTAATAAGGTGTTATTTTCGTTAATCATTTTTAATCGAAAGTATTTATTCCTTAATGGCTTATTCAAGTTGAATTTGTTGCGTTTGATGAAGTCGAATCCAATACAATAAATGCTAAACAAAACAGAAATTACTATTTTAAATAACATGGAATTTATTTCGTATGCATCATACAAACCATCGCATATCGCATGTTTATTGATTACTGGGATTACTTGCCATATGAGAAGAATTGTATATCCGCGTAAAGTCAGTTCGATAAATCGAATATAGATATTCTTCAATTTGGTGTTTTGAAATTCTCTCCGTTTCTTTGTGCATTTACAGTTACAAGTTTCAAATGCGTTCAACCCAAATATAAGAGCAGGTGTCCAACAAGGGCTGATGAAACAGCTCAGACATACGTCTTGTAAATTAAAATTCATGCTCAGTCTGTATTGTGTCTAGGCTTTACAGAACGAAATAAAACTGTTTTTAGAAATACTGGTTACGTAAACTCATTATCTCTAAAAATTTTATTGTGCCATTAATAATAACAATATAATGTATTTAATTGAAATATTATGGGATAGTAAACAAAATTAATTAAATAGCTGTTTGCTCTGAATTACCTTTATGAACTTAATTAACGTTACATCAACAAACTATTGCAAACATAATTAGTTATAACAACACAAAAGCATATCTTAACAATGTAAATTTGATTACTTACCCTGATATAAAAGTACTTAATACTTTTACATCAGGATAACTAATTAAATTTACATTCTTAAAACTATTCGAAACTTTTGATCAGAATTTTCAAAGAATCTGACATTTTAGTGATATTTTAATCTGCATATTTTTTCCTTTACGTTTTTAAATTCTTTACTAATAGATAATTTGTAACTCGAGTCAACCCATTACGAGCAATATGATCTTGTTATTGGAAATGATATGAACTGTAATCAAACGATAAAATTTTAGAAGTGTCATCCATATCAATATCTATATCTTTATCTATATANATTATATATATATATATAAATGGACGTGTATGTCCCTATATTTCACTTTTCCGCCAAAACTATACATCGCACGTGAATGGTGTTTGTATATGGTAGTAGCACCAAGTCTCCATTCGTGCACCAGGGGGGTTGCGTCTCGATAGTAATAAGGGTGCGGGAGATATTGGCTGAAAGTGGTTGAAAGTGGCTTTCTATTTCGAATGTTTTGTTCGAATTTAATTCGAACATAAAATTCCAATATTGGTTCGATTATAGAACAATTGTAAACATTCCAGAAACGTTGAAAATAGTTCGTTTGACTTGACGCGAACAGGAGACGTTCAGAAATAGAATCGGGATCAGGTCTCTAATTAGTCTGGAAACGGAGGACTTAATTTTTGCATTATGTGAAAACGGGTAAGATTGGCTATAATGCAATTACCTTAATCTTCACTATCGTTACTTTCTAAGAACTCAGCGAAGCGGGTCCTTGCAGCTAGTATATATAGATATATATAAATGGACGTGTGTTACTATATTTCACTTTTCAGCCAAAACTATACATTGCACATGAATAGTGTTTGTATGTGGTAGTAGCCTCAAGTCTCCATTCGTGCACTATGGTGGTTGCGTCTCGATAGCTATAAGAGTGCGGGAGATATAGGGTTGAAAGTGGTTGACTCCGAAGATGTGTAACAATGGGATTGTCAGCAATAGAAGTGTTAACAATAAAAGTGTTAAGAATAAAAATGTTAACAATGGAAGTGTTGAGTAACAAAGGAAGTGTTAATATAAAGCAATATGCAAGATTTACAGGCGGAAAATCGAACATATTTTTAGATTCATGTAAAAATTCTTTAATTAGTTTTGAAACGGGGGATATAATTCTTGCATTCTGTGAAAACGAGTAAGATTGTCTATAATGTAATTATCTTAATCTTCGCTATCTTTACTTTTTGCCCCCAAATAATAACCTAGCGAAGCGGGTCCTTGCAGTTAGTAGTATATATTACGTAATCCGAAACAAATAATACATCATGTTTTTTATTACACCTTCCTTATAAAGACTCTTTTTTTAATTAGCTTATTCTACACTGATTGTAAATACAATAAGAAATGTTCGAGAAAGTACAACTAATAGATTTGTCAGCATAAAAAACAGTTAAATTTGCAGATAAAAGTCTGAATATGTAATGACACATAAGCTGTTTTAAACTTTTTGAATAAGAATATTTCTAAACTAGTAGACTCCGCCACGCGTTGTTGTGGCTCAAATTGTATGTATTATAAATTTATAACACTTCCCCTTGGGAGGGGGGAAATTTTCGAAAATTTTCTTATTAGTCTACATTCTGTTCATGTACCCTATTAAAACGCAAAAAACGGCATTTAAAAACATCTAAATAGAAGCAGAGTTTTCTACGATAAGCCTTAATTTTAACCATCTCCTTTTAGTGGGGGGGAATTTCAACACGTATATTATATAAAAACACGTGCGTATATTCGAATGCAGCGTTGTGTCAAAATTTCAAAGGAATCGGTAGGAACAAACGAATATTACATATTTATTTATATAGATATTGATCTGCTTTAGTTTATTTTCACAGAAAAGCATAATGCCTGACAGAAAAGCAAACTTAGGGCGTCGTACTCGTAGCGCCATCTTTTGGACATAAAAGCCTTAACCTAGATTATTTATTTTAATTTATATGAATGTTTAACGGAATAATATACAACCTATGTCCTTTCTGAGGTTAGATTCTAAATATTGGTGAAAGAATTTTTGAAATCGGATGAGTAGTTTCGGAGATTACCTGCTACAAACAAACTTACATACATACATACTTACAAACATTACCTCTTTATAATATTAGTATAGATAGGCAAAATGTAAAGAATATGTAAACAATGACAAGTCTCAACTTCATGACAAAAATAAATAGGAATGTTATTTTGTAGCAGCAAAACAAATGATAACGAAGAAGAGATAAACGTAAAATAGTAACGGGTCTTGTGTTAGTTCAGTTTTGTAGAAAAAAAATTATAATAATAAAATAGATTGAAGCAAGAATTATGTTAAAAATAACGAAATAAATCNTGTGTAGCAGCAAAACAAATGATAACGAAGAAGAGATAAACGTAAAATAGTAACGGGTCTTGTGTTAGTTCAGTTTTGTAGAAAAAAAATTATAATAATAAAATAGATTGAAGCAAGAATTATGTTAAAAATAACGAAATAAATCGTAGTTGTTAGTACAATTGTAAAAAACTACGTAGATAATATAAAAAATTACAAATAAGTTACTGTGATATTTAATTTTTGATAATTACGAAGTAAGAAACATCCAAAAGAGAGTAGTTCTAATAGAAAAAGGTTTAGCTTCCTAAAGAAAACAGCAAAGTATTTTGCGTTGTTTTTAATACTGTTTTTAAAGAAGTGTTCAATTGGATAAGCCGACAATGACAGTTGAATAATTTACCAGAAAACAATACCTTAACGACTGTCATAGGAAAAAACGAGTTACTTTAAATGTAACATGGCGTAAACACAGTGTATTTGTCATTGTCTGCAGTAGTTTTACATACTTGATACATATAAAGGACGAAAATAAGGTATGTTTCAAATTTATACGGAACCCGAATTTGCTGCATTAAGTGACAAATATTTTATTAAAAATAACATGGATTTACATGTTTCCACACTGCAAAATAAGAATTTTAATCAAACATTAACATTTTGCCACTGAAAATAATATTTTTGAAAATTTTGTACAAATATACATTCTTCTTAATTTATTTAAAAATTTGGAACTTTTCTAACATAAATTAATATTAAAATTACTCATAAATTATGCAAAAATAGAATAAAAGTCTAATGTTTAATATTTCAGACAATTACCTCCTACTTTATTTTATTAATAAAGCACTCAGCTGATACATACAATAAGTTATTATTGTACTTCATTAAACTGCAGAGCGACTTATATAATTATAAATTTAATAACTAAAGAATAATTTGTAATATATTATCAAATATTTTACCGACGATATGGTTGAATTTTTGAAACATGCAAGTAAGTTTATGCAAATGAACCGTTGTCTTACTGCGATTAAAAGAAACTCGACTGCTTTGAATTTTTTTAAAGTAGTAATTGATAACTTTCCTGATAATGGCCACTTTGGAGCAGATTCGAGAATTCAGATCCGATAGAGGTAATAATTAGTCATTTGTTCAACTATAATGGGTTTATGTATTTTTTTATTTTATCGAATAGCATGTTCATGTCTTAACATTTCTAGATAATTAAGAGATAAACGTAATGACGTGTTACCGAAGGTAAATGTGATGAGAATATCCATCAAAATATAAATATTTTTTTTAAATAAAGGTGGAAACACCGTGTCAGTTTGCGTGAATTGTCGCTACCCCTCTTGGTCGGATTATTATGGTGCACCCGCTTGTAGACGTTGTACAAGATTGTTCGTGAAAGCAATTCGAGAAAGAAGGTGTTACATGTGTCGTACATATGAGGCATCGTGTCTTTCTACAAATGATCATAGAAAAAGATGCAGATTTTGCGATCTAGAAAGGTTATACAAACTTGGATTGAAACCGATAAGATTTGGAGTACACGACGAAAGATGGTACATGCTGGATATGATTCCTTATTTAAGAAAAGGAGTAGCTACTGATTATGATCCAAGAGTAAGTTTTACTGTAGAATCTCGTGTAAATTATAAGATGTGTAGAACATTTTTCTTCAGAATTAATATTATTTAATATTTTTAGAAACTTCTTTTACACTATGAAATGGGTATTATAAATCAATTCAAGTACAAATGTTTTCAATCATACGTAAGATGGATTCGGAGATACCTATCTGAAAACACTTTTATTAATGGAGAGGGAGAGGTAAGTTAATTGACATTTTTGTATAGAATTTACATCTTTTGAAAAACTAATTAAGCTTTTTATTTTGAAAGTTTCTATTACGTTATGATTGCATATTGAGAGGACTGACTATGGCAGCAATGCTCGAATGCATAAACATTCACGACGTGTTGAAAATCGAATATATGTACTTTGATCCGTATCAATGCCGAATTTTAGATAACCAAGCCTGGACAATTGATATTATACATACGGTACGCCAATTTCTATTGATATGGAAAGAAAATGGCCCTAACGAATTGGATGTGTGGATGTACACAGTTTTGGTAACCATCTCTTCTCTATTGAAATATACAGTCTATCGTCGATATAGCTTCGTTATGAATAGCTCTACTGTTATAAAACGCCAACGAATCCTCATGAAAGGTTCTATTCTATAAACACTAAAGACAAAACTCGTCTATTTTAAATATCACCAAGTTACGTGAATTTCAAACACTGAAAATAAAACCTGTTTATCCCTTATTACTATATATAGCTTTTCTTTGTTTATGATGTTCAGTTCACAACCACGCATAATTTAGTGCTCGTTTCAAAGCTGAACACATCTTGGAGCTAAATCGATGTTCGACTTTATATTTTTTAATCATTTGATATATTGTTTTAACACTCGTATATTTATGTCTCTTTCTAGGGTTTAGAAGGCGCACTGGATTTAAATTTATAAAAATTTACCATTATTTTCTTTTTGCACAATTTGTTTTATATAACGGAAATTCTATCTTTGCATTTATATTCAGCTCGCTGACATTCTAATGAATGATTGATTTTTTTACAAACGACACTTAAAATATCTTTTTCATTTTAATTGTATTTAAACAAAGATAAAATGAGAAAAGGTATGTGCTTGAAGATTAAGAAAAGATTAATTTAAACGTGAGAAAATGTTAATGTGCACTTTTTTGTGCTTTTCGTTACGATATTTTAAAATATGCTTTTTGTATCTATTTTATATTAATTTTAATAAATGCTTTTTGAATATAAAGAACAATTACTAAATAGTTTAATAAATGCCACAAAAATATGCTTATTGAAAGAAATTTTTACTCGGATTGTTTTACTTTAAAAATATTGTTACAAGAGCTTATATTAATTGCGTAATAAGTGAGATATTTCACATTAAAATATTAATTTAATGTGAAAAAAATGAAACTCGGATCCTCTTGTAAGTTCTAGTGATAATTTTACGTTATTTTGATAACTTTTTCATATGATAATGGAATATGTGGAATAAGATATTAAGTAAAAGACGACACCTTCTATTTATAACGTTTATGAAATTTCTCAGATAAAATACCAGGAGAGTAAGTTGTTTTGGAGAAGTCTTGAAAGTAAATAAATAAACGAATATCAAAAACAATAAGATACATCGTATAAGGGAAAAAATCAAAAAGAATTGAAGAATATGGTGCGTAGACATGATCAAAGAAGTTACACAAATTCTCGACTTCAAAAGAGTTTTAAATTGGACAAGATAAGGATCATGGTCGAATGAAATGTATTTTAACTAACTGATGGCTGTGGGAATGGACTTCATCCGTTGTCCTGGAGATCGGAGTTTAGTTCGGCTTAAGTTTAAATTTTTGATGGTTGGTCTGTCTCAGATGTGCCAGGCCTTTATCTGACAAGGTAGTGGTAAGGATGACCAATGAAAACTACTGGTAGAAACTAACGTTATGATCGAACTAAATTTTAGAAATAGAGCATGCTGCTGTGTTTTCTTCGTTGCATTTTCATCTTTATTACAGTAGCTAAAGATTAAGTAAGTAAACTGCAATATTCCCAATCTTATATCGTTGATATACAATGTTCATTTTACATCTGTTAGTTGTACAGTACTTTTATCTTTATTGCCGGAAAAGTTAAACGACTCATTGCCGAAAACGTTTTTTCGCCAAATGTAAAGATGTAATCCGGCTCTGAAACTATTTTTTAAATCTACTTACTTTCTATTTTTAAAATTCAGCCAAAAGTAAGTTATAAGATGGAAATTTAAATACCTGTAATTTATAATTTGATGACATTTTATTAAATACTTATAAATTTTCAACATTTTATATTTTAGTATATTCATTTTTAAAAATATTTTTGGATAAATGGACTGAGACTTCACATTTCCTACGTTATTGAAGAGGAACTGAAGAGCACGTTATCGAGTTTAGATTCAATGATGTATTAAATTATATGAATATGTATTAACAACATTAATTTCCCTTAAAAAGTTTGTAAATATTTTCAATTTTATTTCACTGACAGGAGTGCAGGTGATTATACAACATAACATTGTCATCCCAATCACTCGAGGTTGACCGCAGGAATCCAGGTATGTGGAACATCGCGTACAAATCTATCCTGCACTTTAAAGACATCTTGAATCATTGTTGCCGCATCCAGAACTAGCAGATAACGCTACTGTTTTAGCTTTTCACAGAAACAGTGATCGCTTACATAGGAGAAGCAGCAGCTTAAAATTTTCTTCATGTATCTTCTATTAGTTTCGCAGGTTATTTAGGGTAAATATCCACTGTCTAAACTGACTATTTTATAATTTTTATTTATTTTATAAGTTCGTCCTCATTTTTTATTGTATAGGTAGTATTTTCGTACTTTTGTAATTTTTTTCTTTCAGAAATTTTTCTAAGTTACATAAGACAGAGTATGTAAAATGAACAATAAATTATTACTTGTTCTTTAGGTTTGAGCGTTTTTTATTGTATGTTCAATCTTGGAATTCAACTTTGTTATCACTTAATTATTTTAAATTTTTAGTTTAAACCTACTGTTTATGTATTATAATATTTTTGTTAAAATTTATCTGCTTTTATAATTTCTATATTAATTTATCTTAAGAAACTTTTTAATTTTTCAATTATATCCTTATATTTGATATATGATTTCCCTGTAATTCTTTCTTTCCTTTTTACATTTTTTAGTAAGAAGTTAAAAAAAATACCATTTTCCATTTTTATTTCATTTATTTCTCTTTTTGATAATTTTATATTATTGCACACATGATCTAAGAGTGTTATCATATCCCACGTTTTCAATAGAACACATGGAACTTTACTTTTTGCCCGAGCAACGCCGGGCTTATCTGCTAGTTTAAAGATAAAATTAAACGAGCGCCCTTGGGAATTAAGAAAAAAAAGAAAAGAGTGATCTTCCCCAAAGTGCATCAATGTATAGGCGCCATCCGGATTGGGATTCACATAATCATTGTTTTTATTTTATCCCATCTAATTTGTAATTATTGGATAAAGGTATCTGTTATCAGTAATATTATTATATGTAGAATGCGGTCAAAGAGTCTTCTTCGACCATCTGTCAAGTTGTTGTATAATAGAATTGTCTTTATCAATTTAAACCTTTTAAAGATTGGACTGCAATATGAAAAAAAATTGTAGACCTATAAATTCCCACTGTCGTGCGGCCGTTTGTCTGTCCTTCCTCAATCTCGAAAACAGTATTAGATATATTAAGATAGTAACGACAAGGTTTAGAAAGATTGCCTAGAGTAAGGCCCGATTAACTATACAAGACCTTCCGATATGCAATTAAATTACGTTATTTTAATTCCAAAAATGTTTCTCTGAAGTTGTTAAATAGATGGCCGGCACGACGCTATTGTTAATGATAAAGTATGATGTACACGGTCAAGCCATTACTGATTTGAGATGTAGAACATATATTTTAAATTAAGTAAATTATAAACGTAATTAAAAATTGCAGCCTGGCATTATGACGATGTCACAATAAATAATTGCTTGTTAAATTTTATAGTTTAATGAGAAACCTGAATTTCCAGATAAATATTTATCGCATGACTGTTGCACTTTTCTGAAAAATGCTGTAGGGCAATATGTACACGTGTAGTATATAGCTTATATTACACGTGTTAAAAGTAATAAAGTAAATTATAATTTCGTATTAATTAGATATACATTACAAGTTATATTTTTTACCGTATTGAAACATTGAAAGCTTGACACACATTATAAAGCTTCATTTCCAATTCGAAAATATGAAGTTTCTTAAATATATAGTAGTTAAGTTTTCTTAAAGCAACTATAAAGACATGCTAAAATACTCAAAAATAAGTTATATGATTTTCTATATAACGAAATTAAAAATTAAATTATGAGTTTTTATTACTCAAACTTAGAATTTTAAAGCAAATTTTCGTGAGAAATTTCCACTTGAGTGCAAAAACACTTGAATTGACACAAGATAGAAATGATAAAGGCTGTTAAATCTAAAACCTGTATTGATGCCTCAAGCGTCTGTTCCCAAGGCTATAGAACTACGCACGATAGCAACAGGTACTTTTTAAGTAACTACCCAAATATTTTAAGTGTTATCATCTCCAGAAAATAATATATTAAGAAAAGGTAAAATACTCACATAAAATATTATTTAAAGGGGAGTAAAGTAAGCTGCACTATTATGTCAACAAAAGCCATCGTTGAACTAGCACGTGCAAAAGCCACCTTCGCTTCCAAGTAATTGCAGATCACATGACCAGGTTACCTGGCTAAACGCATGAAAGGATAAGACTCCAAGAGTTCCGGATGTTTGTCATAAAAAACCCCCATCGAGGCTACATTAGTGTGAAAAGGAAGAGCAAGAAAAAGCTCTATATGACTCTACCTCCATAAAACGGACCTGATTTAGTCCCCGGAGAAAACACTCGCCATTCCTTCGACAGAATCTCCCTCAAGACTATAGAACGACGTCATATTCACGATCAACAAAGGTTTGAAGTATTTTGGATTGATAAGTGTAACCTTTTTCTCTGCGTCTAAAACTTAGACACGTAACAAGGAAATTAGTGGCGCAGCAATTATATCATCTAATATCGCCTGTATTTATATCTTTATGTTATTATATTATATTTTTTGTTTTGTTTTTTTTTTGTCTTTGTTCTGTAGTTTAGTTTGGTTTGTTTTATTTTAATTCTTGTTTTGTTTTCATCTGTCTACCTGTCATTACTTGGCTCCCATCGACATAACCACTGAAAGTATTTGGCCTGTTAATCATCCGACGACAATGTGGGCGGGTTTTACCAATCCGTGACGATTAAGTGACAAGTGGGAAATCCCCTTTTGCTTCCGGCTTCTCACGTATTAGTGTCTAGAGAGTGGAGTCTGATTTGCTTCTACGTACAGAATCACACATATTGGTTTGCAAGAGTGGGGTGTTCGAAGGTGGAGCCTCTCACCAGGAGTTACGATAGGCGTCCGTCGAAGATAAAACCTGTCTAAACCGAAACCGGTTTAGACAGGTTTTGGTTACAATAAAGTTTTCGGATTTTAGGATAGTTATTACTTTTTCTTCTTGCCACACTCAATTAACCGAGCATAGTTAGCTTGTTTTCCGAGAAAAGTGGAGGAAAACCCTCGAGCCACTCTGGGCAGACTAGGAGGATTAGTATCTTTGCTTCCCTCATTTGAAGAATGTTGCGGCATGGATTAAGGCACAAATGTTTGCAATAGCCAAGTTAAAACTCACTGGCATAGCGCGAGAATTCTCACAAAAGGATAGAAAAATTAAAGGGGTCGAG